GTGCTGTGCTATCAAATAAACAGTGGTAGGTACACGACCAAGGAAGAAGATATTCTTGAAAAAAATGATTCCAATGTAGTGCAAGACTAAAATGGAATGCCAAAAAGTAAAATGCGAAGCAGACAGTAATGAAAATTGGGCAAAGTTAATTAAATATGCCAGCTCTACTTACAGTATTTTCTAAGCCTCCTAAGATCCTACTAGCTAGAAGTTATATACTAAATAAGAGAGAATAAAATGTTAATGTATTCATAAAAAAAGTGATTCCAAGGAATGCAAGACTAATTTGGAGTGCAGAAAAGTAAAATGAGCAAGCTACAGTAAAAATTGGGCAAAGTTGACTAAACATGCAAGCTGTGCCTCTAGCTGGTAGTCTTTTCTAAGCCTCCTGAGATGCTACTGGCTAAAGGTACAAGACCAAATCAAAGAAAAAATCAACGTTTTCTTTGAAAAAAAAAAATGATTCCAAAGTGTAAGACCACAACTTGGAGTGCAGAAAAGCAAAATGTGGAGCAAACCACAATAAGAATTAGGCAAAGTTCACTTAGTATGCAAGCCGTACCTGTAGCTGGTAGTATATTCTAAGCCCCCTAAGATCCTACCAGCTACAGGTACAAGACCAAATTAAAAAGAAATAAATATATACTTATTCTTGAAAAGAGTGATTCAGAGGGGTGCAAGAAAAGTAGACGTACTCTTGTAATGTGCTAATTGTACTCTTACACTCCTTGATTCCAAGGAGTGTAAGACTACAACTTGGACAGCAGAAAAGTAAAATGTGGAGCGAACCATAATAAAAATTGGGAAAGTCCACTAAGTAGGCAAGCTGTACCTCTAGCCGGTAGTATTTTATAAGCCCGCTAAGATCCTACCAGCTAAAGGTTCAAGACCAAATAAAAATAAATAGATGTATAGTTATCCTTGGAAAAAGTGATTCAAAGGGATGCAAGACTAATTTAGAGTGCAGAAAAGTAAAATTTGACGCAAACTGTATTAAAAATTGTGCAGAGTCGACTAAGTATGCAAGCTGAACCTCTAGCCGGTAGTATTTCTAAGCCTCTTAAAATCCTACTAGGATGAGGTACAAGACCAAATAAAAAAATAAATGTAAACGTACTCTTGTGAAAAGTGATTCCAAGGAGTGTAAGACTACAACTTGAAGTGCATAAAAGTAAAATGTGGAGCAAACCATAATTAAAATTGGGAAAGTCAACTAAGTGTGCAAGCTGTACCTCTTTTATGAGCCCGGCAAGATCCTACCAGCTAGAGGTTCAAGACCAAATAAAAATAAAAAAAGTTGTATACGTATTCCCGAAAAAAGTGATTTTAAAAAGTGTAAGACTAATTTGGAGTATAAAAAAAGTAAAATGCGACACAAATCGTTGTAACAATTAGGCAAAGTTGACTAGATATGCAAGTTGTACCTCTAGCTGGGAAGATTTTTTTAAGCCTCCTGAGATCCTACCGGCTGGAGGTACAAGACAGTAGAAATTTCATCTTGGGGATCTTTCCAAACAGTAGCACTCGGACAAGGGCATTATAGCGGCGATACTATTCATAACTGTTGTTTACCACGGCAAGCGTAGGTCTTAGCGGCCACAATGTTAAGCTAAGGCTCTGCTGAATAAGAAACTTAAGATCGACGAGGGTGAAGGAAACAGCCACACAAAATTTAGCGAAATTTCTTAGATTTAAACTCAACAATGTATTCTTCACATGGAAAGTATGTTATAATGTTCATGTCTGGTTCAATCACATCGCTTGACTGTTGGTAAATCGCAAATAGTGTTCCTAGAGTAGTCTGCCATATTGCAATAGCCGACAATTTCCGATAATCACTCGACTCGGAAACTCGTTACTAGTGCTCCTCAGGCGTACCTCTGGCCGGTAGGGTTTGGACACAACCCAAACACAGCGGTCGTGTGTCAAAGATGAGCAAGTGCATCCAATTTGGCAGCGCAAAAATATCTTAAGAGGATAGAGGACCTAGCCAGTGTCACCACAGGTGGCCCAAACATCGTACGCAATCTGTGTTTCAGACATTTTAGACAATTTAAGACGATGCTCTGAAAGCTGCTCTGAATGCTACCTAGGGTGCTAGAAGGGATACACATTGGTACCCTTGTCTTTCGTTGATTTCACGTCTCTGTGTTCATGAAGTCATTTTAAAGCCAATAGTGGGACTTAGAACTTTCAGACGAAACCCCAGAAAGTTTAAGACCGCCTGGACGACTTAAAACCGAACCCAGGACCCACACGGGTATGTATACCAGAACACCAAGACAAATGTTGTGCCCATTCTAGCAGGTGCTCCTGGAACGAATGCATTAAATAAATAGCAGCCATCACATGAACTCACATTTGTTTAATAAAATACTTTCTAGCTCAGTTTATCTAGCAGTAGTGGGGTATATACTTCAGACAAGTTAGCGCGTTGCATATGAATGCATTGAACGCGTCCCAATCTATACGTTCATGACTAGCACAAATTCACACAGACTTGAAGTTCACGAGAAGATATTTCTCGACGAGGAACAGTATATGTGTATTACTGTGCCTTGACCAGTCAGAACCAAGATATTTCCTTTCGAGCATACTAGGAGCCAAAGGAAGACAAGAGTGGAAATCGTTCAGGAGGAAAGATTTTCAAATGAGGGACAGTATGAAATGTGTATTATTGTGCCTCCACCAATCAGAACCAAGATATTTTCCTTTTATGCCAATCAGGAGCCAAAGCTAAACGAGAATGATATTTCCCTCCAAAGGACCGAGTTCTCGTGTGTGGCTCTGCTGGTATGGAGTTGTTCACAAAGAAATACCAAAGTAGAGCTCAAACTCGCAGAGAAACAAGACATAAAGAACCAAGGGGTAATAAGGCAATTAACTGTCCTCGAGGCATTAAACGCATTTCCCACACATAATATTCCTACCGAGTGAATATCATACCCTCTTTTGTTGTAGCGATCAAGAGGAAATTTGCCCCTTGGATATCCAAACAAACAAAACAAAAAGACAATGAAAATTTCAATCTAACTTGCAAAGTCCGTAAAGGACCTTTTATAGAACCCCAACATTTGCAAGTGCTGTTGCTAAATATTACGCAACAGCCCGTTTTTGTAACTAAAGAGGTCAAAAAGAAAAATGTTTTCCGTTTTGTAGCTAGCGTCCCAGAAAGAGAAATTGATTAGTTCCTATGAGGAATCGAACCACAAAACCTTCAGATTTTCCTCTACCACTGAGCCACATAGGACTTCGTTTAATAAGAGGTTATTACCAGATCCACACGCAACAAACGTCTTGCACACCACTAGGATCAGATCTATGTGCAGGTACATACAGTAGGGAAAGGAGAAAGATGGTGAAACTGGTTCCTCGTGGAAGTTCATAACTGTTCCGTTGTCCCTCTTTCTTTAATTGACGACCAAGCGAAAAATTTAGTTTCTTTCTCATTCTAGGAGAACAATTTTATGGGCCGGCACTGCACCATTTGACCCCAGGGTCTGAATGTTAATTCTCCCCTCCAGCTGCGACACATTAACGTGCAAATTAGCGACGAGAATTTGGTGTTGGATCAAGATGACAATTTCTGCTTGATGGGTTTGAGTATTTTCACAACCTGTTTGCTGCTGAATTTATAGATATTTATAGATATTGAAAGGAGAAGCTAAATGTTAATCTATTCTAGGAATTAAAGGATTAACTTCTCGCTGCAGCTTTTCCATTGGTTAATTTCCTCTTACGATTGCATTAACTCTTCTCTACTTAATTCGTCCAATGATTTCTCTTACATCCTGTTGAGAACAATATAGCTAAAAAATGGAATATGATGAGGGCCACAAAACTAGATTACTTTAATATTTCTTTTCTTTTTGAATTACTAGTGCTGTTCCACCGTCGCTAAGAGTTTATCGTGAGCTGCGCGAATCCAATCAACGTCCTATCATCGGGAGGTTCATGACTACTTGATTTCTGCAATTATTGGGAAAAAAGTAGTAAAATAAAACAAATAAATTAAATGAAACACTACACACATCTACCCTAAAAAGGTTTCCTTATTGTGTAAAGGGGGTAAGTTTCTAAAGAAACTGTGGTGCTGCGTCGGTGGGAGAGTATAGCAGGTAATTTAGTGTTAAAAACTGAGTTGAAGACGTAAATTGGCCACTGTAAAGGGTAAAAAAGCTAACGTTTCGAGCGTTAGCCCTTCGTCAGAGCGATTGATGAAGGGCTAACGAAGAAGGGCTACCGCTCGAAACGTTAGCTTTTTTACCCTTTACGGTGGCCAATTTACGTTTTCACCTCAGTTGTTAACACTAAATTTCCTTATTGTGGTTGTAGTAGCTATGTATGCACATCAACCTTTTTTACGCTTTTTTATCTCATTGTTTCCTGATCCGTTACAGGTGTTGTTTCGTCGAAGCTCCGTTTTTTTTTCCGTTTTAACTAGCGTCTAATTTTTCCTTACAACATTATCGCTAAAATCACACATTAAGGTCATGAGAATAAACGAAATGATCACCAATATAAGAAGTTCTGGAAACTCTCATATTTAATTCTATAACAAATTTATAGAAAACACAATTAAGAATACGTTTACTGATGTAAGGGCGCAAAGAATTAAAGAAATGTTTGTAACTTAAAACAAGCAAATATACTCACAAGCGGAAAAGTCATAGACTTGCTGCTTGGGGGATCATCAATTACTTTTCTTAGATTAGCAGCAACTGAAAGTGAAACATTTACATGCACATTGATAATAAAATAAAATTCATTGCCAACACAGCTGAGGGGAAAATCATCAACAAACAGTTAATAGGGTAAAAATGCAATTAAACTTCGAACCCGTAGGAACATAACAATTTAACTAAGAAATCTGGACTGTTAAAAAAGAGCCCTGTAAGACACTAGAATGCAGGAATATATCAACAAATTGTACGACTCCGATTGCCATAAACAACTGTTCCACTGCAACTATGCCCCCCTATCCCCCCTTCCCCATTTTTTTCCCAAATGGAGCGCCCAATCTGAAAAGCATCAATAAGGACGTGAACAAAAGCTGGAGTTGCCGCAGTAACAACAATATAAACAATTACTAATGAAATTTTATTGGATTGGATTAAATTGAATTACGAATTCAATTAAACTTCCTTACCAACAACTAAATCTTGCCCACTTATTAAACCTGCTGAAACCAACTCCTGTGCCACACCCTCAGCAGTATCTGTGATGGCACCAGATCAGAATGGGTGAAACGAAAACAAAAAAAAGAAAAAAACCAGTTATCACCAGAGTTCCAAAAACCACTGAGCGTGACAGTGAAATCAAGTCAATACTTGTAATGTTAACGATCACGATGGTGATTATGATATTAATGAAAATAATAATTATAAATAAATATATGAACTACCAAAGAAATGTAATGCAATATTAATACATAGCTCACTGAGATTGTTGATCTGTTCGTAAGGGTAACAGTATGTATAGCAAACCAAGAGGGGAAACAAGCTAGAAATTATTAAAAATATCAAAAGATAAGTGTAACAGTCCTTGGCTGGAAACGTTTTCTGCAAATCAGATGGTCAATTAAACTAAACAAAAACAAAAAGCTGTGCGAGGTAAACAACTCAGGGGAAAAAACAACAGGTTAAAATGAATTATTATCCATAAGAAGAACTGGAAATCAAGATATTTTGGAAAAGAGGCAAAATATCTCACTAACCTTTACCAGGAGTAAAGTCGAATCTGATATCATTCAGTTCTTTCTTTGCATTTCTGTTGAGGGAAAAAAAAAAGGAGTTTGAGGGGAAAGCTATGAATTCGATATATATCCACTTATATCCACGCTGTAACTGAAATACGGTCAACGTAGGCGCGCTAATTATGAATGCCTTTATCCTGAAAAGATTGACGGATGATGGAAACTATTACCAGTTATGCACATGAAAGAAAAAAATTTAGATACAGTCACATGTAGTAATATCAGTCCACCACAAGGTCGACCCCATCATTACGTCAGGTTCTCCTTGATAGCTACCCCCTTTTAAGAGGCAATGCGTTAGAAGAGCGTCTTACCCCACAACAGAACACCATGACACAGCCAGGGCTTGAGCCCAGACCTCCCGATCAGGAGTCCAGCGCATTCGCTCACTGCTGACATAACGGCACACTTTTCATGATAATCATTTCACAAACGCTCCTATCACTAGACTTTTTACGGACGAAAAACATGAACAACTCACCTTAATCTAAGAGTAAGATCCAAGTTGATTTGTGCCGCTGAAAAGTGAAAATATTAATTAACATCAGGGTGAACACCAAAAAATTGTTACCTGCGGGATCAAGAGCACTGTTTCGCAAGTTTTCTGCAGCGTTAGGAAGGAACCTAAGGAGAGGAGCGCCTTTCGAATGATTGTCTTAAAATAGTGTCAAAGTACTCGCCGAAGCTGATCAGAACAAACATGAAAAAGAAAGTCAAAATTAAAAGCAGCCAACGAGAACTTAAACGGTATATTTATTTACGAGAACAACCGATGCAAGCGCGGGAAAACGAAGTAGGCTTCCGAACTGATGACAGGATAGCAAGAGTTTTCTACTTCAGTCAATGAGAGCAGAGACTATTATCTGAAAAAAAAAGAAAAACAAAACAAAACACACTAAGACGCGGATTAAGTTCAACACTCGTTTAAAAATTTCTCTTCACAGCGCTTCCTGAAGTATAGTATCCTAATCAAGGCTCGAAGTGTTCTTGTGTGACGGAGAGTTAACTGAATTCTCGCGACATCGGTTGTCAAGAACATACCTAACAGTATGAGCTGAAAAAATTGGTGCGATGAAGCTGGGTGAGAAGGCAGATAAAAATAGAAGGTAAATCCATCCCGATAACCGTGCTGACACAAAATGATCGGTACAGTCATGAAGCAAAATCTTCGCTTAAAAACAAAAGGATCCTTGTTTTATTGTGCACCGTACAGACCAAATCTTGAACGGCTTGAAAACGACCTCTGCACTTCAAACGCGTAAAGTCATTCGAGTAACCAAAAATAGTGGTTAACGTTCTCGGATACTTTAACCGGCTCCCTTCGCCACTTGCACGGTTAGCACGCAGATGAGTTTACGATACAAAAAAATCTGACGTCTGATTAGAAATAACGTTTTGACTTACGAGGTTTAGGCGATGTCGGTGTGGACGGTTGAATGTTGACTTTTGGTCCTTCGGATTTTGGTGCACCTTCCTGAAAGAAGAAAAAGACAGTTTTTCATATTTGAACCCTTTAACCCCCCAAGAGCGACCAACATCTCATTTCTCCTTACAACATCATCCCTGAATCAAACACTAAGGTCGTGAGAATAGAGGAGATGATCACAAAGCAAAGAAGCTCTTGATTGTCATACAAATTCTACTTGTCAGAACCCTAGGAAATGTCTAGAGAGTAGTATGGAGAATATGCATATTGATGTTTGGGAGTAAAAGGTTAATCAACATTGAAAATGTGTAACCCAAGTATACTGATGTTAGTCTTTGGGGTAGTCCTAGTTTATTGTTCTCATGGTACGGTAATAAAGAATAATGGGGTTATATCGTTTGTCTCTCATTGCAATGTCTCGACTGCATATTGCTAGTCCTCTTCAGGAGACGAATTAAGCTTACGGTTATGAAACATTGTGCGCCACTGTCATTGATTGATTTTCAACAGCTGTGATTGGCGCATTTCGATTTGTTTCCTTGGCGTGTGTCCTTAGTGCACAAATGAAAGAAACGTGCCACTCTAAGCTGTTGAAAAACAAATGGCAGCACAACGTAAAGTTTGCTTGGGTGTTGCATAGGTAGTTGATCTAATCGCCTGGAGAAGTCTGCAGTCTTACTGTCGCTGGTAGTGGTTACAACGTAAGACGGATAATTACACTTCCGTCCTTGTTGTTGTAATTGTACACTACGATGAAAAGCTAAAGTTACCACGTCACTTTACCAGCGGTTTTATAACACTTCTGGATTATGAGTCAATTGCGTTGAAACGAAAGTCTACTTTCTTGAGGGAAACTTTGCGGAAAGATGGGGTGTATCTTGCGATGCGAGGACTAAAATCTCAAAATATGAGATAATACTCCTTGGGTTGAAGGACTACCTTTTATGTCAAGTTTTTTCCAAACTATTAATACACCTGGGTAGAGAAAAGCACTTTCAAAATTAGTGTCTTGCCCAAGAAAATAATACACACAACCCGTCCAAGGTTCTAAGCTGAATCGTCCGATCCAGAGTCCACTGCGCCAACAGTAAGGCTTCCTTATCATGCACAGTCTACTACGGTACAATTTTCCGAACCAAATATTTTACCTATCAATCATTTATTATTTTACCTTGACATTATCTGCTTTTGCCGATTTTTCATCGTCACCCTCACCGTCGCTGTCACCGTCGTTTTTCGCCTCGTCATCAGACCACTCCCAGCTGCCATCGGCAGCTCGGTGAAGTCGTCCACTGGAGCCTGGGACTCGCTTAACCTTAAAACGAAGATAAGCGAACACAATAAAATGCATTTGTCATAAGTCTAAATAACGATTGTACGGCAACGAAATGATCAGGGAAATCGAATACGAAAAAAAAACATTCGACCACGACATCATTAGGGATCAAGTCTATTAGACACTTTAACTCCCCAAAGGAATAAAAATGTAACTTCTCCCCTCAATTTCAACTTATTATCCGGCACAAATGTATTAAGGATACACAATCGTATCGGTTGAGGGTACTTCTCTTGATCAAACACCAAATTCTCTTGGCTCTCTAACAAAGAAATGATAACAGCTTGATGGGAGAATTGCGATGTGCATCTTGGGACTTTAGGGGTTAAATAACCCTAAGTACCTTTTGTGATCTTTCACCCAGAGAGGGCATTAGCGGGACCAACGTCTCCACCAGAAAATCCTTTTCCTGCAAGAACACAAGATGAGGACAATTTAAACAATCAAATCTTCTTCTCACCACTCAAACAAAAAAAGAGGAAATAAAAATGGCAGAGCCTTAGCAAAATATATTGTTTTTCACTGAATACAAACTACATCAGGTTTTCCAGCTCGCTGATGTAAGTAAATTTTATTAACAGTGAACAGCATGGTAAATGCTTACTTAGAATTGAACTTGTATCTGACACTAAAATATTTGTACGGCAACCTGTGAAGGTAACCCTAGCTATGTAGGGTACCATAATGTAACAAGTACTCGGATTCCATGCTGCTGTGAGTCTGTTGAATTATAGATTTTAGATAACGTCAAAATGTGGAAAAAGTGGCAGTCAAGTGTGAAACTGATGTTATTAAACTCATTTTGAGGTCTTCTGTGATTTATTAGGCAGTTTTCGATCCTCGTTTGTTTCTGAGTCACGTGTCCAGACTCCAGCGGTCACGTGCGCCGTTTGCCGTTCACGTTTGAACTTCGGGCAAGGCAGTTTCAGGTAATTTAACTCCCTCCACGCTTTTTTTTTGGTCCTGTTCGAAGGTTCTCACGTATGTCCTATTAATATACGTGAGGTGAAGTCTTGAAACCAATCTTTTAGCCACATTTTGTGTTTGAAATGAAGGACCCCTGTCTTTTGTATAATTCAAGCGCACATGTTGACTTTTTTTCAGGTGAAAGCCGACGTCGATCTAAAAAGCTGAAAGCCTCGAAACTTCTCACTTCTCACCACAAACTGCAGACCGCGGTTTGACGTTAGCGATGAGCACACAAAACGTGGATCTAAAACTATAATTGTTGAACAAACCCACGACAACATGGAATCTATTTGTTTTACATGATAAAGAAGAAAAAAATACTAATGGCGACGCCATTTATGCGTCTGTCTTCCATTAAACTGTAGGCAAGAACTCATCAGGGGAAATTGTGGTATTTTAAGCTATGCAGCTCTCTATTGCGTTAAAAATTTAAACCAACGAGAGATCTAGACTGAAGGTCTGAGAACGATAGACCACCATTCCAATGGTAAACGGGATTTTTGCATGCCTGTACTGTTAAGCTCAGGAAAGACAGTCGGTTGACCCATATTGTACTTCACACACGTACCCGGGCTTTCTTGAAAAAATGATGCTTTAGAAGTTCAGAAGCGTCTGGTCTTAAGAAAATAAAACACACAATAAATGTCAGCGCATTATCATTTTGAGTGGAAGGGGGGAGGGGGAGAGGGACAAAATTTGAAATGGTCAGGGGTACACTACGGTGGCAAACACATATTTTGCTGAAGAAATGAAGATAGTGATCTTTTTAAGCTTTAGCGAAAGTGACAGAGATGATACATAAATGTCTATACCACACACGTTACCCATACATAATGATACCTTACCTTTGAGCGGGATCCTTTACCAAACAGCTGCTTATCATTTTTCTAAAAATTTTGGTATACTTTTTGTAGTTTTCCTTGTTGCCTTCGTTCTGTGCCACAGTGTCAATAGAGGGTGGGTCATTTTGTAACGTCAACATCAGGACCTAACGAGGATTGAAATGTGGTACTCAAACATGGAATTATTTCTTACGCACTTACCGGCTATATATATTTCCTGAAATGTGGCTGAAAATTTGAAACATGGCTTGCTCACAGGACTTTCCACGAGACTGCTTTCAAATAACCTCACAGATTTTTTTATAATTTAAACAACTAAAATCAACATGTTAACCTTTTAACCCCTTGGAGTAACCACTATCAAATTTATCTTTACAATATCAACCATGAATCAAACATTAGGGTCATGAGAATAAGAGAAATTATTTCAAGGTCAAGCTCTTGATCATTAAGCAAATTCCCCCAATGAGTGCTATAGAAAATGTACAGAGAGCAGTACATGTGAACAGGGCTCGAAATTAGCACTCGCAAACTCGCGAAATGCGAGTGGTTTTTCGAAGTTGCGAGTCTAAAAAATAGTTAGGTCCTTCTTTTGCTAGTAAAAAAAATCTTACTTGCAAAACTTTGCTAGTAGACAAAAAAGTTAAGTTCGAGCCCTGGTGAAGGGTTTCACATGGATTGGAATAAATGCATAATGCACTACAACACTCTAACATACAGAGTACACATACGTGAGTAAAAGCTGCGTACTTGACCGTCTAATCAGAGGGAGCAACTCATATAAAGTAAAGTGGTATTCCGCTCAGCAGCCTTGTACGTTGTCAATAGTGCCAGACAACAGAATATCAAGTGAAGCAGTGCATCACAATTTGTACCCAAATTTTCCCTGCTCATTATTTACATGTAGAGTCTGTATTAAAGTCCTTCATTCTGAATCATCCCCCTTATTGTTTTGTTTTGTTTTGTGTTTTCAGGTCTAGCCTCCACCTCTGGAGTTTGCTGGACTACAGTGACAAGCTGTAGATTGCTGCAATGTTTTATCTTATAAAACAGAAATCCTGTCCAATAAATATTTATGATGACAGAAAATATCGCAACGTGGCACTGTTTTCTTTGCCCAAGTTTAAAATAATTTTCTCCACTTTTCCTTTTTTAGGAGTTGCAGTGCACAACACTTATTTTACTTTTTGACATACAACTTATCAATAGAGTTCTTTGACTCCCTAATTTTGGGGAAGTTTGTTTGAATCCAAACAGAAGTAATAATCCACTGATCAATGTATGTACATGTAGATGTTCAAGTGAAGGCACATTTTTGCTACAATTTTTCGACATGTTCTCACAATCCTACCTTCATGGCTGGAAACTTTGCATATGGAGCAATTCCAGTGGCCAACTCAATGGCTGTAATACCAAAACTCCAGATATCGGCTTTGTGGTTATAACCATGAACCTGATGATGTAAATATATGGTGTATGCACAAACTGCATTATTATCATTTCACAGTTAACATGGTCCCTCACCCTAGTGTTCTTAAAGGTTAGTGGAACAGAAAGCTGACAACATACATCCCTGTACTCTAGCACTTTACACACAGATCAATTTACAAGTTAGTTGGAACAATATACTGTAACTAATTCTGCGCCGTTTTTGAAACAGCATACAGTGCTTTACATGTAACATTCAGAAAAGCTTTGTGGCTCAAATTTCCCTCTCTTTTAGAATATTTCGAACTGGTGTAGAGCAGATAACATTTTCCTTTCTTTCAGATCATGAGAAGGCTCTCAATCCTTTAATTTGATCAAATTTGTAATTCCCCTTACTGTCAACCATACAATTATCATGATGTTAGTTCAGAGAATTTAGTTTTGGATCCACTAATTAT